GCAGGTGATTTGGTTAAAGAGGCAGATTTACCAGTCTTTGAGGAGGAGAAAGATTTGGAGATGGCAGAAGCTGGAGGAATTGCCTGGGATTAAGTCGAGAAGGGGAAATGTATGCAGTGTAAGCAATGCAGAATTCCCGCGATGGTGGGCAGGAGCAGAGTAGGTTCCACAGATGATGAGGAACAAGGTTGCAGAGATTTATCGATCGGGAGTGGTTGGGGGATGGGTAAAACTGTATGTTAGTTTTGAAGGAACTGAGGTTTAGGGAGGTGGCAGTTGAAAGCTGCAGAACAGTGGGACAGTCTGACTTGGAGGTGGAAAAGGCTGGCCATGAGGCAGTACCGGAGACTAGACGACATGCAGAAATGTAACTGATAGTCTTTGTGTTGGAGCTATAGGTTTAGCAACTCAACCAGGGTTAGAATTAGACACGCATCAAGCTTCTTGTGAGGGAAGCTGTGTGTGTATTCCCGAATTCTGTGGAGTATGTAAAGCTCCTATCCTGTTACGTTAGGGCATTTAGACTTTTTTCTGAGCTCATCTGCTCGACATCTCTGTGGCTGTATGTGATAACTATACGTTAAGGAGACCATCTGGGAAATTAGTGACTGACAAGAGTAGCAGATTATCTCCTTCATTTGTAAGGTGGAAGGATTGAAAAAGAGAGTGCAAGGAATTACAATGAAGGTAATTGGATGAATTAGAGTAATATTTGGGCAAAAAGAGAGAAAAAGATTTATTTGATTAAAGTCTTTAAAGTGGAATTGCCAGAACATTAATGTCACTTAAAGGGTCCTTTACTGTGTTAAGTAACAGCGCTAACTTTCCACTCTGTGATTACTGGCTATTTAATGTTTCTGACTCTGGGCAAGTTGCTGGTTACCTGCAGTGAATAACAGGACAGGACAAATCTCCCAATAACTTATGTCTGCTGTCAACTCCTGGGAAAATCCCTCAGCACAATCACGGAGATTTGCTTGAAAGAAGTTATTGTTAGTGAACGCCATTAAACTTTCTTCGTTTTTCCAGAGGGTTTTAATAACATTTTCCAATTGTATTCATTTCTAATAATCCCTTTATAATTCTACGTTGGCCTCTAGCCCCGTGTGAAAGTGTTTATTAAATGCTTCTTGTATGTTGTCTTAAGTTGCTGCCAATCAGCAAATCCTAGAATAGTGCAGTGCAGAAAAAGCCCATTCAGGGCATGGGCTGTATACTAGCTCTTAAAGTTCTGAGGAAGGGTCACCGGACCCGAAACGTTAACTCTACCGAAACGTTAACTCTATTTTTTCCTTCACGGGTGCTGCCGGACCTGCTGAGCTTTTCCAGCAACTTCTGTTTTTGTTCCTGAGTTACAGCATCCGCAGTTCTTTCGGATTTTTTTTTACTAGCTCTTAAGTGTTTGCCTTACTCCTCTACTCTTTGCCCAAAATCATTACAAATTTTTATCCTTTAAATGTTTACCCAGTTCCCTTTTGGAAACCTCTATTGAGTTTGTAGTTGACATTAGACAGTGCATTTCAGACCCCAAACACCTCCGCAGAAAGTGTTTCCTAAGGTCACTGTTAATGAGCCTTCAACCACTGAGGATTAAAGATAAAAGCAGCTGGTTTCCTCACTACATTTCTGACCACAGGAAGTTAGAAAGAGCTTTACAGCAGGGGAGTACTTCTGTAATGTAGTCATTGGTAATGAAGGGAGCACAGCAGCTAATTTATGCACAGTAAGCCCCTACAAACAATAGTATCTGAACAGAAATAAAAACGGAAAGAACTGCAGATGCTGTAAATCAGAAACAAAAATAGAAATTGCTGGAAAAGCTCAGCAGGTCTGGCAGCATCTGTGGAGAGAAATCGGAGATATTATTTCATGTTGAGTGACCCTTCCTTAGAAGCCTGAGGTCCTGAGGAAGGGTCACTCGACCTGAAATGTTACATATCAACACGGTTCTTTTGATGTTAGTTGAGGGACAAATAATGGTTGGGGCACTGCGTGAGAACTCCAGGGCTCTCCTTTGAAGTAGTGAGTGCCCTGTGATCATTTACATTCTCAGAGCTTCTCTCATCTGAAAGAAGACACCTTTTAACGGTGACTTCCCTCGGCACTGACCCTCCGACAGTGCGGCGCTCCCTCGGCACTGACCCTCCGACAGTGCGGCGCTCCCTCGGCACTGACCCTCCGACAGTACGGCACTCCCTCAGCACTGACCCTCCGACAATGCAGTGCCTCAGCCCCGTATTTGGAACATTCTGGAATGGATTTATATCCACCTCATTGCACAGATCAGAGAGCTCTACCATCTGACATTGATAAAATTTATGAATTTAAGGAAAGTGTATGGTTTCCTGAACTTGTGTTGATGTACACTGGTGAATAGTTCATCTGTTATACCCTTGGGCATTGCCAGTAAAACTGTCAGTTTTTATAAAACTGCTTGGATTGAAAGAATTATTTGTCTTCTCCGTAAACCGTTTGCAAACCCTCAACTCTACACGGCATTCCCAACAGGAACCGCCTGAATAGGCTTGTGAAATCAATTTAATAGTTGATGTGTGAACTGAATATTCATCTGTTCCCCTTGGATTGAAGAAATTACATTGCTGGTAATTTCCGTCAAAACTATGGTGCTGCTCCTGTAAACCTGCGATTTCGGCCCTGATCCTTCAGCTACTTATTCCAGCATTCCCTGAGAGTTACAGGGAGTAAAATTACACAGCAATAAAACAAGTGGACACACTTCAGGAAAAAGTTACTTTCAATCCAGCTTCACAGTAAATATGAACCCAGATTAAACCTGGATGGTATTCACCCCCTGTTCACACAGCCTGCAGGAACTTTGTTTCTTTTAGACAGAGTGTACAATCTTTTCGGAAAGGTTATTCTAACCCCTTGTGTCTGCTGGCAGTGGTCCATTAGTTTGTTCACGATGTTTTGGTTCTGTTTCCCCTTTGAGGGCTGCGTTGTTGCTGATAAAAGCCCTGACATTGCAGATCCCTTTGGTGTTATCAGAGACCATTCCCAGTCAGGGTCACACACTCAGTCTGGAATAAATATGCATTGCAAGGGTGACTAGAGCACTGACTGAGAATATTTCTGACAGCGGTGATGGCTCGGATAATGCTGCAGCAACTCAGTGTGGGACAGTTTCTACCTCCTGATCCCGACTTGCCATATCCCTTACAGCAGTTGGCTAAATGCTGCACACTGGTGACAGGTGGATAATGACAATCTGCATTTATATAGTGCCTTAATGTGATACAACACCCCAAAGTTCTTTACAGGAGGTTTAACAAATGGAAAAATGTCAGGGCGTAGATTGGGATAACAGGACAGCTAACCAAAAGTCTGCTAAGAGAGGTAGGTTTTAAGGAACATCTCAGGAGAGGAGGGAGACAGTTCTCTAACTTTGGATCCAGACAACTCAAGGCCCAGTCGGTGATAGTGGAATGAGCGAGAGGACGGAATTGGAGATCTCGGAAGCTCGTGGAGACTGGGACAGATCAGAGATAAATAGCGGGGAGAGTTTTTAGGTGTTTCCAGCCAGGGTTCTAATGTCAGCCTGTGAACACAAATAAACAGTTCCATAGAAATAGAAGGCCCTGTTCCCATTCCCTTTAAATATCTTCAAAAAGAAACATTTAGTTGTTTGAAAAAAAAACTGAAGTAGGTATTGAATAAATTGACCAGCATTTAAATCTTTTTAAGCTAAGCGAGTGATTTGCCCAATGTTATGATGAATCTGGGAAATTCTTTCTTATTGAGATGGTAGTGACTATTTCTTTGTGTGTTGTGTAAGGCTGAGGGAGCTCTGAACCTGAACACAGCATGTGATCGGAAAGCAATTGGGGTCCAGGTGGAAGATGAGGTGCAGTTCCTCCAGCTTGTGCTGAGCTTCACTGGAACACAGCAGCAAGCCTGAGACAGAGATGCTGGCCAGGGAATTGGGTGGTGTGTTAAAGGGGCAGGCAAGTGGAAGTTGTTTGGCGTCATTGCCACCCAGCCTGTGTTTGGAATGCCCTGTCTGGTTTCAGTTGAGAGTTGATCTGTGACTCCTCTTGCATTGTGCACTGTGGAATAAGTGTCTGTACATAGGAATCTGCCTTATCTCTGCTGTTCCCCACCAATCCAGTCATGTCTCAGTTTTGAAGTTCACTGTTTCAAATCGCTGTGTGGCATCTGTCTCTATGGTCCCATCTCTATAACTCCTGCAGTCCTCTGGGATCCCCGCACTACTCCATCCCCGTTCCTGACCTCTGTATTTCGGATTTTCGGTGTTCCCCCATCAGTGGCCATACCTTCAGCAGCCTTGGCTCCATGCTGTGGAATTGTTGCTAAACCATCTCCATCCCTGTCTCTCCTCCTTCCATTGAGCTGTTCTTTAATCCTGTCTCCAAAACCAAACTTCTGATCATCTGCCTAAAGAGCTTTGACCTTGAGATAATGGAGCAGATTTAGGCCATTCGGCCCATTGAATCTGCTATGCCATTCAATCGTGGCTGATGGGTTTGTCAAACTCATTCTCCTGTCTTCTCCCTGTAACCCTTGATCCCTTTACCAATCAAGAATGTATCTATCTCTGTCTTAAATACACTCAATAACTTGACCTCCACAGCGTTCTATAGCAAAGAGTTCCTCCCACTGGCATCACATTCTATTTGAAAAGCTCTCCTGTGCAATACCTGGGATATTATATTGTGAAGTTGCTTTATAAATGCAAGTTGTTGTATATTACCTATGCATGGGGAGCTGGTCACGTCACTGTGCTATTAATCCAGAGACTTTGATGATCTCAGGACGTGTGTTCAAATCCCACTGAGGTACGATTGAAATAGTTTTAGTGACTGTTGTAAAAACCCTTCTGGTTCATTAAAGTTTTATGGGAAAGAAACAGCCTTTCTTACCCGGTCTGGCCTACATGTGATTCCAGGCCCACAGCAATGGGGTTGAATATTACTTGCCCTCTGAAACGGCTGAGCAAACATGCTCAGTTCAAGAGGCAATTAAGAATGGACCACAATACCAACTTTGCCAGCGATGGCCACATTCTGTGAAAGAATAAAGAAAATCAAATGTGGTTACAAAGGTGAGAAATCCCAAAATGGGTGAATAAAGTTGTTGTCTGTCATCCTGTAGTAATTGTAGCCCAGGGTGAGTAGAGATTTAAATTCACTAGAGTTCACAGAAATATTAGGAAACTAGGAGGCAGCCAATCATGTCTGTGCCGGTTGTCCAAACGAGCATAATGACTTAGTGCCATTCTCCTGCCTTTTCCCCATAACCCTGGTCTAAACAGGGTACATGTCAAGAAGCTGTTCCTATTGATTGAAGAATCAAGAACTGGGGGGCACAGATTGATGGCTATTGGTGATATGAGGAAACCCTTTCCCACACGGTGAGTGGTTAGGATCAGGATTGGCACTGCCTGAAACTGTGGTGGAGGCACAGTAATTGGATCATTAGCCGAGCAGAAAGAAAGCGAGGATGACAGGAAAAGGACAGGTGGAACATGGTATGCAAGTCTAAGAGAGCTGGTGCAGATGCAATTGGCTGAATGGTCTTATCTGTGCTGTAACCATTCTGTGATTGTAATTGTGCAAAGCTCTGGTTAGACCATGCGTGCCATATTGTGAATGTTACCGTGTCCCACAGCTTAGGCCGGGTCTAATTAATTGTCCAAACACATTCATTTCGGTTGTCTTTTGACAAAATCTCTTCAATGTCACATGTCTTTGAAGAGCTGTGAAGTACAGTGATCACTCCACCTGCAGTAATCCTCATGGTTGTGATTGAGATATCTTGGTGTTATGCAAGAATGTGTTGAGTCTAATTCGTTTTAATTAAAACCTATTTTTATCTCACCTTGAAAAGTAAATAAAGCTTCACATATTTCAAATGGATTTTGGCACATCTCAGGCTTTGACTGAACGTGTTAAAATGTTTGTGAATCAGTTCTGAATGACTCTACTACAATCTTTCTGACATTATTTTTGTCTCAGTCATTCGCAGGAGTTTGTGGGTGGAAAGTTGTGTGTGGGGTCAGGTGCTGTACCCAGACAAGGCAGTACTTTGAGATAGTAGGAACTGCCGATGAGGTGAATCTGAGATAACAAGGTGTAGAGCTGGATGAACACAGCAGGCCAAGCAGGAAAGCTGACGTTTTGGGTCTGGACCCTTCTTCAGAGCCCTGCTGTGTTCAGCTAATCAGAGAGAAGCATTGAACCTGAGTGAGGGTTAGACCTTGGCAACACCTGACCCCCTATGGGATGTGATGACGATTTGTAAATGCAAATTTTCCTTTTTTCGTTCTTTCACTGACGTCATCTGTCTCAGTGTACAAGTTCCCTTTTGAATGAGCACACTCTATCTCGGATGTTTTCTCTCTCTTGGTCTGTCTATAATCTCCATCTGTTTGTTTCTACAGTGCTCCCCCTTGACACT